CCCAAGCCAACTCCTACATTTAGTTTCCTTATTCTCAGGGCAGTACAGGGGTCAGCATGATTGCTGTGGGATTATTATCCTCAGTGTGGCTTCACATTTTGGGAGCACCATGGACAAGCATTTGGCTGTGGATCTGCTACTAGAGCCTCTGCCCCACGTTTAAATTCTCTGTCTCCTCTAGAAGCGTGGGTCTGTTCCCAGGGCATCTATCTGCTGAAATCCTACCAGCCCTGACCACGTGGACCGCCAGGAACCCTACCCCGCCCTCTGCAGGGTCCCTAAGTTTGCCTATTTTCCTTCTGTTTCTCTCCCTGTTGGTCTGGTCTCCAGATTGCTTGATGGTGGAGGCTGCTCCCTGGCACCGTGGGCAGGGAGCGCATTCTTCCCTTTCCAAGTACAAAGTGTCACTGTGCCCAGCCTCACAGGAAAAATGCAAATGAGGCTCTGGGTGTGGACAAGCCTTGGGGCCCCAAGTGCTGACCTGCATTTTTTCCTGCTGTGGCCTTTGTTCTCCCTTGCAGCAGATGGGACTTATAATATAATATAAAAAGAACTTAAACTTTTCATAGCCCCTGACAGGGCCATCACCACCCACTGGGTTATGAGAGCCATTGATTCAGACTCCTTAACGCTCAGCACTGCCCAGGAGAACTGGACATGCCCCGAAAACTGTGAACCATAAGTGAGAGCAAGCTCATTGATGTTTTCCCAACCGGGCAGGAATCCTAAACATCGACATAACTCCCGTTAACTAGCTGTGAAGTCGCAGTTCGCCTGACCTTCAGTAATAAAACCGGTATCCGATTAATCGTGCTAGAGAAAAGAATGACCTTTCTACTGTCTCCACAGACGATGACACTGCAGAGTCTTTCTTCCGTGAAGAGGTGCAGGCAGCCAGAAAATAAAGGGAACAAAGTGTGTGGAAATGCCTCAGACAATTCATTAGTAAAATCGCTGCATTCTTCCTCTGGATTTTGTAATATTTGTGGGACTGCTCAGCTTCTTAAACTTTAACTAATTTTTGTACTTGTAGTTTTGTTTTTCTTTCCTTAAAGAAGGTCTCCCAACAGCAAGGAAGCTTCAGGACCCGTGAAACCCAGCTGCAGCCCAGCCTCTGAAACTTTCTCCAAATGACTTGGGACACACACGCTTCACCTTCCTTCCTTCTGCCCTGTGCCATGGCCAGAAGCCAGCCTTTCTGCAGGACAGATTCCAGCCACTCTCGGTGGCTAACCCTGTGCACGCCTGGGAGACCTGGGGTATAATTTTAATGACTAATGTTCCCTGCTGTGCATGAACCTTCTACCCCTGAATAAGATATGGTTCTTCTCAGGCCCTGAGACATTATGAAATGCCACAGATGGACTTGGCTTTCTCTGCCCAGAGGAAAGCACCGCATTTTCTAGAGACAATAATGGGATATGAAGAAGGATGGGGGGCAGTGGAAGGCTGCTTAAGCGACTTTCCAAGAAATCCTGGAAAGAACTAGATTGAGTTTTTCCCCCGAAACTTGAGCAAACCACCGAAAATTACTTCCCTGGAGCAGGGTATGCTTTCGGGTTTTCAACGGTAGTTAACTTTTCGTTCTGTTTTCAGGCAAGTAGGCAATATTCTATGCTCTTGACCTCTGTGGGCCCCAATTTGTACTAAATCCTTTCTTTCCCCCAGATCCACTTAATATCAAAGTTTTAATGAGATGATTGAATTATGAAAAGGGCACTTCTGAGCAACCCTTAGGAGGGTTGTACTTTCTGTCCGTTTGCTTAGAAACCGGTTAAGCATTGTCCTAGATCTGGAGTTTGTTACCCATAACCCCACTGTGGCTACCTGACTGAGTTAAAATCTGATATGCTTCCTACTGGGGGGGGGGAATGAAACCTTTTTTTTTTTTTTTAAAGGATTTTATAATTTATTTGTCAGAGAGCGCACAAGAAGGGGGAGCAGCAGGCGGAGGGAGAAGCAGGCTCCCCACTGGGCAGGGAGCTGATGTGGGACTCCATCCTATGACCCCGAGATCCTGACCTGAGCCTAGACCAAGAGTTGAATGCCCAACCAACTGAGCAGCCCAGGTGCCCCGCTAGTCTTTTAATTTAGGAATTACAAGCATGAGGAACAAAAACAGGTGCGTAAGTCATTCATATTTCACAACAGGTAAGATTTATTTGTTGAAATAGGAATTTTTGCACCAGAGTAATCTGAGCCAGCGAAACCCTTCTCACTCACACTGCTTCACCTGCTCCCCCTTGAATCTCTCAGCATCCCCGAAATCTTTGAAACCCTTAGCGCTGAAAGTTTAAGACTGCTGTTTAGACCAAAACCCCCACAAGAAATGGCTACAAACAGAAAGGGCAGCCAGCGGGTCAGTGGCTCGTCTGATCATGAATCAAACTCCTACTACGTGCTGGTCACGGAAACGAGGTGATCATCGTTAGGCTTTTCTGTCGGTTTCGGTCGGCAAAGCAGTCCCAACCTATCCTTGCTGAGAGCAGAAGAGGAATCTTTCAGGAGTGGGATCTGGCAAGCCACGTGACACAAAGTTTTTAGGGGTTGAATTTTAAAAATGTAAACCAGCAGTAAATCTGGGGCAAGTGGGACTGTTGAGAGGTTTTGTCTAACAACCTACACCTATGAATATTGATAAGCGGCTGTGGGGGGGGGGAGCCACGCCTCCTTCCGCTGACTTCTTCCCCCATGAGTGTGGGCCTTCTGGGCGCCTTTATTAATATCCTAGATGGAGCAGGCTGCGGGGTTGTGTGGTTTCTAATTATCCTACATTTCTGCAGAGGAATCAGCATGGAATAGGGTGCCTGTCCTACTGACTAGGATAGGGTGCTTTTCCCCAGGAGAGCACCAGCAAAGATCTGTTTATCTAAATGAGCTTCTTCTTGCCTTGGAAGTCTTAGTCCTCTGGACAGATGCATTTTAGGGGGCATGGAGCATGGGGAGGGTATGCAAAGTCCTGCAGGCTGGGCACACTGTGGTCTGCAGGCCCAGGGCACTTGTGCAACTGGTGGGGGGGGGGATCCTAGATCCTAGATAGCTGTACCCTCAGTTGGGACAGGAAGTTCAGAGCTGGGAGAGATGCCTCATGGCAGCAGGACCTCAGCAACCAATCAAGGGGCAAACAGATTTCCTTCTTTGGATGCTTTCTTCTCACCCTTTAATATTTGAACGAATTCTGAGGACAGCTGACAGATAATTTTTTATGAATGCCCAGGCAAGCACAGGGAAGACACTGGTAAACAAGGCATAGTTTCTAGCCTAAGGAAACTTACAAACAAGTCCAGCGGCAGGCCAATTATGCAAGGTTGCTTGGTGAGCACATAAGTGCTCTAACCTAATCCTGAGCAGATGGTGGGCGGTGAAGTCTGGGAAAACTTTCTGGAGGAAGCAACCTCCTTATAGATGAATAGTATTTGGCCAGTTGTTGGAGGAAGAGGTGGAAAGAATTTTCCAGGTGTAGGGGAGTTAAAGGGTGTTTAATACTCTGTAACACCTCTTAAGAGAGACAAGTCAGGCAGGTGAGCTAGGGTAGGAATGTGGACTATATTCTCTGGAAGATGAGGGGCAAGCGAAAGGAATTAGTCATGGGAATGACAAAGAAAAGAAAAAAGATCACTCCAACTGCCCTGTGCAGCAGGGATTGAGGGGACCAAGGTCAGAGGAGGGGGCACTGTTTTCTCTCCGCCATGGAAAGAGAAAGAGGAAGGAGAAAAGGAGCTTGACACCAAAGGCACACTTGGCCTTTACAAAGCACCTGAAATGGATTGGCAAAGTGCAAACACTAATTTGGAGGAAACATAGAGCTGGATCCAGGCTCCACGGGGCCCGGTTCAGAAAAAAACATACAATTAGGCACGAAGTTGACTATAAAGATGAAAAAAAGGAGTCACAAGGAATTACTGGAGACTTGCAGACCGGGCCTCTTTCCTCTGTTTGTCCAGACTCGCTTCCAGAGGTCAGCCTGGCATCCCTTCTCTGCCCCAGGCACTCCCCAACTCCCCGCCCCACAGACGTCCTGGGGAGTCCAGCAAGTCAAGTTTTCCGTCTGGGAGGAGCGACCCTCTCCGGGGAGGCAAAAGAGCGGCCGTGGGGTCTGGCCAGCCGGGCTGGGCTGGAGCGGGAGCCCGTGAGCGCAGAGCAGTCGCGTTTCACCCGGAGTCCTGCGGCCTCGGGGGCTCCGGCCCTGCGCTCGCCGCACTAGCGCGCTGTCGGGAGGGGCGCAGCCGGCGCGCCGGGTCTCCGGGGAGGTCTCTCCTGTCCCCCGTAGACGGGGCCGGAGCCACAGGAACCAGTTCGCTCGCTCCGGCGTGCGCGACCCCACAAACACGGGCTTTCGTGCAGGGCACTTCTGGATTTAGAGTCCGCGGGAAAACGCCGGCCCTTCACAGCCAGTTTTACTTTTAAAGGGAAAAAAAAAAAAAAAAAAGACAAAGTTTGTTGTTTTGAGATAAAAGAATTAACTTCTGCGAAACAAGTCAGTCATCGTCGGCGGAGAGCTGGGGGCCCGGGGAGTCCTGAGCGGGGCGGCGCGGGGCCGGGACTTCAGGTGCTGAGCGCGGCGGGACGAGCGGTATCCGGGGCGGGGGCGGAGAGGGCGGTGGAGGGGGCGGGGCGGCGCCTGGACCCGGCTGTGCGGGACGCGCGGTGTCTGGGGGGGGCGGGGTGGGCCGCGCGACTCGGGGTCTGACGTGGGGCAGTGCGGGGTGCGGCGGGGCCTCGGGGCCGCGTGCGGCTCCGGGTCCGACGTGCGGCGGCGAAGGGCGGAGGGTGGGGCGGCGCCGGGGACGCGCAGGGCGGGGGCGGGACGGGTGGGCGCGCGGCGGGGCCGCGGGGCAGCGCAGGGGCGCGCGGGGCGGCGGGCGCGGCGCAGCCCCTCCCCGCCGGGGCCGCCCGCGGATCATGTGGTGCGGCAGGAGGAAGTGCCGCTTGTTTTCTTTCCTGCGGGCGCCGGGCTCCGGGCGGGGCGCGCGGCTCCGAGACCCCCTCACCCACCCCCCCGGGGGCAGCGCGGGCCGCGAGCTCAGATGAGGCGCCCCCGGCCCCGCCGCGGCGTCCCGGGTCCGATGGCGGCTCCGCCGTGGGACCCGCTCCGCAACGACTCGCTGCCGCCCACGCTGACCCCGGCCGTGCCGCCCTACGTGAAGCTCGGCCTCACCGTCGTCTACACCGCGTTCTACTCTCTGCTCTTCGTGTTCATCTACGCGCAGCTCTGGCTGGTGCTGCGCTACGGCCACAAGCGGCTGAGCTACCAGAGCGTCTTCCTCTTCCTCTGCCTCATCTGGGCCTCCCTGCGGACCGTCCTCTTCTCCTTCTACTTCAGGGACTTCGTGGCTGCCAACGCGCTGGGCCCCTTCGTTTTCTGGCTGCTCTACTGCTTCCCCGTGTGCCTGCAGTTCTTCACGCTCACGCTCATGAACCTCTATTTCACGCAGGTGAGCGGGGCCGCGCGGCGGGGGGCTCTGGGGGGCGCTCACGGCGGGGGGGGGGCGGGTGCTCACCTGGGGCGGAGGGCGCTCACCTGACGGGGAGGGCGCTCACGGGGCTGGGCGGGCGCTCACCTGGGAGAGCCCCCCCGCCCCGCGCGCCGCGCCAGCTGCAGGGCCTACGGCTGCGCTGCCGGGGGCGGTCGCGGAGCCCAGAGGGTGGGCGGAAGGCACTGGCTCTGGGGTCGCCTGAGCCCTGTCCTACCTGCAGGCCGTTCTTCTCCCCCCCACCCGCCCATTTCCAAATGAGGCGACAGAGAGAGAAAGTGAGGGCCTGCCCGGGTAGCCACCGGTGGGTTTTGGGCCCGCCCTGTCCGTGCACAGGGGCCGCTTCCCGCCACATTAGAACGCGGCCTGCCGGGAGCTGTGCCCACCAGGGAGGCTCAACCTCTAGACTGACTCCTCTGTCCGGTCATCCCAGAGCACCTGACCTGAGCCTGGAAAGGTCATGTGCACGCTGGCCTCCAGATTGGGGTCAGACGCTGATATTTTTGAGTAATGGCAGGACGGGACCGCCCCATTTGGAATGAGATGTTTTTGATCTCCAGCTTCGAGCCCTGCTGAATGAACTAGAGCTTAGGACTTCATTTCTCAGGGCTGCTGAACAGTCTGGGGGTGACACCCAGCTCCCCAGCTGCTTCCAGGGGAGGTCAAGGCTTGCTGTCTGAGCTGGATGGAGAGGCCCCAAGAAAAAACCATAAAGTTTACCGGGGCTCTTTTATGGGCACAGAGGAGCTAGTTTATGAGGCCTACTTTTAATAAGCTAATGGGATAACATGTGAATTGACTGGGCTGCTGTGACTTAAGGAAAGGACGGGGATTGTAAGGTGCTTTGTAAATACCATGTCAGGTATTGCAAAAAGGTTTAATTACACAACGCCCTCATCATCATCTCTGATTCTCATTAGCTTTCCAAGCCCTGAAATGTCTATTTCCACAAGGACTCTGCCGGTGTCATCTGGTGAGGGTAACTGAAGAGCTCTCTCACCGACAGACGCCTGATGCAGGCGGGCATTCTCCTTTTTTAAGTGTCCCTGTTCTCTAAAGAAAACGTCTTTCAAAAAAAGAAAGGCAAGAAAAAGTAGAGAAGGATTGCCGTACTGTGGGAGCCCCAGAGACAACCGGCAGGAAACAGGTCTGGCTCCAGAATAGCTGGGTACTAGTTAGTAGCCATGATAGTCTTATAAAACAGCTCTGCGCTCACAGCCTTCTGATAAGTCTGGTGTAGCCACATATTTTTCCAGTGCACGAGTCATAGGTATTATCTGTCAAAAAATTACCTTTGAGCCCAAAAGCTGGTTACTCAGGCAGTCCTCAGCTCTACTGCTGACACTTTAGCTTTTTTAATTGGATCCAAAGGGGTAGTTCCAGCAAGATATAAAGGTCAGGTAGGCTGACATTACTTTAAGACTGTGATCGTGTTTTGTATTTAGGTATTTGTGTTCCTTTCTAAGAGGAAAAAAAAAAAAAAAAGGAAAACACAGGCTGGGGCCATGGCTCTGTGCTAATCACATGCAAATTCTGCATTAGCTGGCTTAGGGGCAGGGCCGCACATTTTCTGCACCGTCTGCTGTCTGCTGGTTGGCAAGTAAGTGCTGAGCGAGGAAAAGAGTGACCAGGCAGACAGAGCCACTCCAGCCAAGAGGCCTCAAGCCCTGGCCCGGGCTTCTTTGTATCTTCCACCTCTTGTTGCTTTTCATATCTCCGGGGTGGCTGGCAGGAAAAGGGGGTACCTAAGTGCTGGTCTTTGAGGCTCTGTAGAGCAAAGCCATCCTCTGGCTTCCTGACAAATATTCGGATATTTCTGGGGAGCTAGAAAGGGGGTCACCCTTCCTTTGACTCTCAGCTCTGACGTCTCTCCCTACCTCTCTCTCCCACGTGCCTTCTCTAAGACAAGGTTCTCAACCACTGGAATAGCCCAGGGAGCTTTTAAGAATTACCGCTTCCCTGGGGCCCATCTCAGAACAAGTCCATCAGATCTGGGAGGGAGGGGGTGAGCAGCAGATAATGGAGAAGCCCAACTGGGTGCCAGGCTTCATTCGAACTGGTTTGGCCTCTTCTTCGCAAGGGCCCTCTGATGGTAGTGATGAGACGGTCCCCGTGTTGTGCATGGTCAGAGAGGTTCAGTGGCTCCCTCAAGGTTACCTGGTCGGGGCATGGAGGCGCTGGGAGGTCCCCCACATCTCTGGCATCTGAGTAATGGCCCGTGCTTTGTGGTACAGTGTTCAGAGGGGAATCATACTCTACCGTAATTGCAGCCCCTGTTTGCTGGGAGCCAAACCCCTGGCTAGAGGGTACGAACCTTATACCCCACCCAGTTTAGCGATAACTCAGGGGACTTAGGTGGTGTATATTTAAGCTGTGGGAGGCTTCCATGGGACCCGAGCCCTCAGGAGGCGGGTTTGTGGCAGCTGGGGAGGCTGATGGGAAGAAGGAGAGGGCCGTGGCAGAGGGGCACCATGGCAGCAGTTTGGGGAAGAGCTAGAAGGTGCTCTTGGAGCTGGAGGGAGTCTCATCTGTCATTGTCCTGTGCTCTGTACCTGGCCCAGCGCCTGGGGCTGGCTTAGGCGTCTGTGTGGAGCCTCCCTGATAACCGGGGAGAAGGTGTTACCATCTTCCCTCTGGGGGGCGGGGTGGTCAGGAGCTGGCCCATCGTGCCCTGCAGCATCCGCGGCACCTCCTCTTGCCCTGGCCGCTGGAGGGCCATGGTCCCTTCTGTCCAGGGCTCAAGTGCAGGGGAAGGGTGTGTCCTGAGTGCTTAGCCTCGCCCCCCGTCTTTGGAATCTGGCTCTTCTGGGGCTGGCCCGAGGAGGTGCAGGGTGGTTTTACGGGACGCTCTGCCTGTTCACTGCTGGCTTTGCTCCACCTTGGGCTCTGGGGGTGACCCAGTCACGGGGCTGCAGCCGCATGGCGGACTCTGTCTTATCCTGGCTCCCTCTGCTTGTCCGCCTTCCACCCAGTCCCTTCTGCAGATGCGGCCACACAGGTCAGGGGCTGGTGCCCACCCTCAGTCTCCTCCCAGGTCCCCACCTGCCCTCTTTCCTTCTCTGCCACCTACAGAAATCCCAGGTGGAGGTAGATACCCCCCCCGCCCCCGCCAAAGTCCTGGTGCCCTTAGACCTCCACGGCACAGGTGGGCCTCTGCTGGGACCCTCCAGAATCTGCTTGTTGTCATGTCTACACCCCTTGTGTCTGAGCCTTCCCATCTCAGCACATCACTGTCCATGGAGTGAGGTGATGAGGTTCCTGCTTCCTAACCCCCCTGAGCAGTTCCTTGGGGGTTTTCTCCTCAGTGACTGGGGATGAGGGTTGCATCTCCTAGCATGAGCGCTGCTCTCCTGCTGGGGCTGATGACTCCTTTCTCCGCTCTCCGGCTCCTGTGACAGGCTGGAATGTGGGGAGGAGGCTGGTGGTAGGACTGGTTCTGCTGACTCTTAGCAGGCCCTGTGTGAGGTGTGTGACTGGCCCCAAACGTCTGGGGCTGTCTTTGGAACATGGGGTGTTGAGTACCTGTCGTATCTGGTTCTGGTCCCCCAGTACCAGTCCTGGGGACAGCCAAACTCCCACTCAGATCCCTCCTCCTCCTCCTCCTCCTCCTCCTCCTCCTCCTCCTCCTCCTCCTCCTTCTTCTTCTTCTTCTTCTTCTTCTTCTTCTTCTTCTTCTTTTTCTTCTTTCTTCTTTCTTCTTTCTTCTTCTTCTTCTTCTTCTAATAAGATTTTATTTGTCAGAGAGACAGAGCGTGCATATAAGCAGGGGGAGCCGCAGGCAGAGGGACAGGGAGAAACAGGCTCCCTGCTGAGCAAGGAGCCCCCCGCGCAGGATGGGATCACAGGACCCTGGATCATGACCTGAGCTGAAGGCAGAGGCTTCACCGACTGAGCCGCCCAGGCGTCCCTCCCACTCAGCTCTTTGCTGCGCCAGGAAGTGATGGGGCCGAGGCTTGAACGGAGGTATGTCCTCTGGAGCCTGCTCTTCTGGCACCGTTTGCCTCAGACAGAGGTTTCGAGCAGAGCAGGACCCCGAGAGCACACCGGAGTCTTCGCTTGGGCTGTTGTGGTGCCCTCCACACCAGGCTGTGGGGTTGAGACCCAGTAGAGAGGCTACCAGCTTCTGCGCCCAGGCAGCCCCTGGGCCAGCAGGTCTGTCTATAGAGCTGCTGGTGTGGCCATGGGCTCAGCCGTCCCTTCCAGCGGTTTTCCCTTGGAATCACGGGTCTGGACCTCAGACTCTTAGGGACCCGAGTTTGGTGGAGTGGAGTGGGCTCAAGGTCCCACTGGTTCTGCTCTGTCTTGAGCCCAGTGACAAATTCCTGCCACGACTGAAGGGTATTTTGAGGAAGGAAAAGGAGAAGTGAACTCTGGGGACGGGGTGACATGGGGTGTGGTTAATGGATGCTGACGCAGAAGCCAGGATGACAGTGCGTCTTGAGGGCGGCTGGGAAGCTGCTGCAGGGCCGTTGGGGGTGGGGAACTATGGCTCATGGAGGGTGTTGGAGCGTATCATGGGAGTCTAGGGGTCCTGGTGTGTCGGCAAAGGCCTATAAATGAGGGGGCAGCACTGCGCATGGAAGGAGGGGGGACCGTGTGGGCAGGACCGAGTTCGATTCCCCGCTTCACCCCTAGTGTACCTCCCGTGGCTGGTTACTGACATTCCTCATCAGGGAAGCAGCGACCCCGGGGGTGCATCCCCCTGGAGGGAGCTGCTTTAAGGAGAGCCTGTCTGTGTCGTACCCTCTGCACCTCAGTTAGGTGCCCTTTCTGCATCTGACAAGAGTGACTCTGGCTCTTGCCCAGATACCAAACCACGGTCTTGAAGGTCTGACCCCCGGGGCCGGCTCTGCCTTTTATCCCCGCACCGTGTCATCCAAATGACTTGTGGTGCCATGCTGCAACATTTGTGTTTATAAAGTGGCAGGGACACTTGGCTCTCCCTTAGCGCGAGCGTGGAA